TTTTTTTTTTTTTTTGTTTTCTTTTCTTCATTTGTTTCTCCCGTTCTCTCCGTTCCTCGGGTTGCCGCCGCGCGCGGCACTGCCGACGGCGCCCACACACACCCACAGACCCACAGACCCAGCGCACTTGACGGCGCCCGCAGGGGGGTGGGGGAGGGGGGGATGCGTGTGACGCACGTGCCCCCCACACGCGGCTGCGCGGGCAGACGTGTATTTCTATATGAACTCTGCTTGCCGTTGTGTGTCACGCGTTCCTGTGGGCCCTCCGCTCCGAGCGGCAGCCCGCGCGAGAGGCGAAGGAAAGACGGGGAGGAAAGAGCCAAAACAATAAAAAAATAAAACTAAAAATAAATAAGAAGGAAGGAACGAGAGGGATGACCCAAAAGGAGGAAGAAAAAAGAATAATAATAACAAAAAAAAGAGGTGAAAGATGAAATGTGAGCCCTTTAAGTGGTTATAAGCTGCAGCTATATACTTTACGGTGCTGCGTACTTGGCGCCTGCCATCGCAGGCGCAGTGTTTCCCCGACAGCTCCTTTTCCCACCGACGCCGACACGCACGCATGAATTTCCCGCTGCGGGGGGAACATCATGCGATGCACCACGTGCGGCGCGTCAAGCTTTCTGCAGCTCCCTTCCTTTTTCCGCCCTCCCCACTTTCTTCTGTCCTGCTCTTGTGCTTCATTCCCCCTTTTCTTTCGTTTTTTCCCTTTTTTTTTCTTATGCCGCTGTTTGTTTTTGGTGGCCCCGCCGCGCGCATTCCCGCGCCGGGTGAGTCATGAAACACCGACTTCTCGCGCCGACGGAGCAGAGCACGTCGGCGAAGGCGAAGACTGTCGCGCGCGCCCGCTCACGTAGGCCGACTTGGGTGAGGCGCGGGAGGGAAGAGGAGGAAGAAGAAGAAAATTGACACGGTGGGGGGGGGTCTCATGTCGGCTGAGGGGCTTTGCCACTCCCTGCGGGCGGATGTGGCGGCGCTGCGGTCGCTGTTCGTGGAGTTGCGGGGGCGCGACAGGGACGCGCGTCACGTGTTCGACGACATGGAGCGCCGTGTCACGAGCAGCGCAGGCGTCTTGTCCTCCACCAGTGAGGCAGGCCGAGCGCTGGAGTGCATCCTGTCGACCGGCGAGGGCGGGCTGCCGCGCATTTTGCAAGACCGCAGCGAGAAGTTGCGGGTTGTCGGGGCGGACGCACGGGACGCAGACGTGCTGAAGAGAGCGATGCGGTTTCTCAAGTTTGTGGTGGCCACTTTTCACGCGGGCCTCACCCCGCCGCAGGCAGCAGCGGTGCAGGACACCGCGTGGCGCACCTTCATGCTGCTGCACCACCTCAGCAGACACACGGAGGCGCAGGCGGAGTGCCTGAGTGTTATGGAGGCTCTGTTGCAGCACAGCGACCACCGCACCGCCGCCGCGCAGGTGGATGTTGCCGACGTGCTGCAGGTGTGCGTGCCAATTGTAGAGCGTAGAGCCGCGTCGGGGCTGCGGCTGAAGAGCAACGCACTGCGTCTCCTTGGATGCATGTGTGCGAGGTGCGCCGCGGCGATGTCGCCACACGCCGCGCGTGTTCTCGACGCGATGGTGCGCGTCGGTCAGCAGCTCGCCGAGGCGGAGGAGGTGGAGCAGGTGCTTGGGGAGGCGCTTCTGCTCGCATTTGCCGACTACACGGGGGGCTTTCCGCTCGCGCTCAGCGGGCCCAATCGTGGCACCCTGCGGCTCATGCACCGTCTCAGCATGAAGGCCATGGTGCTTGCGGAGACATGCCAAAACTACTGCTTCAGCAAGGCGGCCCTGACGCTGCTGGGGCGACGGTCGGATGTGCTGAAGGAATGCCTCATGGAAGATATGGAGAGTTGCTTCGCGGCGCTGCGGCGGCTGTGGTGCCACAGAAACGTCGAGGTTCGCCGAGCGACGTATGCTGCCACCGCAGGTTTTTTTCAGGCGCTGGCGCTCCTGGGGAGCGGCGAGGGCAGACGGGAAGGCCCGGCTTCACGGCTGCGCTCGATGCTTCAGGCCCTGGAGGCCACACTGCAGGACAACCAGCAACGACGCAGAGACCACTCCTTTGCCATCATGGCGGTCGGGTACATGGCAAGGCCGCTGGCGGCCTGCTTTGGCGCGGACTACCTCGCCGTGACCTTTCGCGAGATGGTGAACAAGTGCGAGGTGCTGCTGACGCCGGCGCGTGGGCCTGTGGAGGATGTGGTGCGACTGTTGCCGTACTTCCTCACGGCCTTAGCCTCGATGCTGCTGGAGCTGCCACCGATGGGGCCGGAGTTGTCGGAGCTGCTGAATTTCACTCTGTATACGGCCCTCTTTCTATACCCACAGGATGTGTGCTACGAGCCTGTGCGATCCACGCTCGGACCCGCGTTGCTGAAGCTTCTCGCGGCGATCTCGCAGCACCACAGGGTGGCGTTCGGCGTTGACGCCGTGGCGCGCCAGCTGCTCGCGCTGGCGTGTTCTCCCTTGTCTCTCTGGGACCCTCAAGCGGGATCGCCCGTGGCGGCGGCGGAGGTCGCCTTCCGGCAACGCTACCTCCGACTCTGGGACTCGCTGCAGTCGCACAGAGCTGGCGTGGTGGACTGGGGGTTCCCGTGGAGCCAGTCCCTCGCCGACACCACGCTTGCCTCGCTGCGGCTGGCCCTGCGTCGCGCGCTGGTGGCGGCGGAGCGGGAGATGCTGCGACATTTGGATCTCTCACGCTTGCGCGGGGAGGCGCAGGCGGGGGATGGGTGTGGTGTGAGTGTCTACAGCCTCCTCGTGCAGGAGCCGGGGCCGCTGCGGACCTGCGGTGGGGACGACTGCGATGCGTTTCCCCGCTTCGTCGCGTTTTTCATCGGCTCCCTTGACGCGACTTTCAGCCACGTGGTTGGCGCGGAGGAGCTGGCCGTGAGCCTTATCGAGGCGCTGGTGTTGTTTGCCAGTCGCCGCGCCCACCTCGCTGGCAGCTGCAGATGCCTCCACGCCCTGCTGCGGGTGGTTCGACGTGAGGGCCTCTCACTGCGTCACGCGGAGATGTTTCTGCGCCCGTTCAGCCGGACATGTCTCCGTCGCCTGCCGGTCCTCACGGGGGAGGCGCAGCTGCAGTGCGCCCGCTGCCTGCTCGGCGTGGGTTACCTGGGCCTGCTGGGCCCCGCACAGCTGCTGGATCCCATCGAGGTGGTGCTTCGCCACGCTGACGACAGCGGCGCCGTGGCGGACGCGCTAGAGGTGCTCGAGTGTTGTCTTGAGAAGCATGGCGCCCGCGTGATGCCGCCGTTTTGCCGCCTTTTGCGTCTTTCCACGGGCTTTAACCCCGCGTTTGGCCAGCTGCACGCTGTGCTGGCTCGCCACGGTGCGCAGCTAGCGGACTGTGTGCGGGCCGGCGGCCGCAGCGTGAGTGTGGCGTCGCCGGACCCCCGCCGGCACACGACTGGCGCGCGGCTTCCGCTGCCGCTGGGCAGTGCGACGCTGTGTGTGTCGCTGGGCGCACTCCTCCCGCGCGTCACGGCGCTTTCCTCCCAGGCGGAGGATCCTCAGTTGCGCCTCGCAGCCTGCGAGATTTTGCTCTCCGCGGTGGGTTGGTGCATTCACCATGACCTCGAGGAGTTATACGGTGAACTCTTCGACACCGTCGTCACGCTAGCGGCAACCGCGGCGGCGGCTGGCGCCGTCGTCCAGGAGAGGTTTGCCGCCCTGCTGCGTCACTGCACCCGGTGCTTTGCCCGACGGGAGTCTCGCGGAGCAAAGGAGCTGGAGCGCGCCTTGTACCGGGGCGCAACGGCGGCGCATGATGCCTCCATACGACGTGTCGCGACGGAGGCGCTGGTGGCGTACGTGCAGTGGAGCCTAAACTACAACGCGCGGCTGCAGCCTCTGCAGGAGAACGGCGTGGAAGAAGGTCAAGTGAGCCGCGTGCTGCACTGGACGTGTGTGACGCTCCGCGGAGCTTCGGTTTGGCACCGCCTCGGTGCGGCCGAGGTGCTGGGGCGCCTATTGCGCGTGCTGCGCGAGGAGCGGGGAGCTCTGCTGTTTGTCGTCCCCTTTGCTCGGGCGCTGCTGGACGCCTTTGCCTATACCCGCGCAACAGCGGAGGAGGAGGATGAGGATGAGGAGGAAGAGGAGGATGAGGCGGTGACTCTGGCGGGGAAGCTGTGCCGCTGCGTCAGCTTTCTGGAGCTACTCATTGCGGCCAACCACGAGCTGCGGCTGCTGCGGGTGTGGCGGGATCGGCCTCTCGCGGGGGACGGCGAGGCGGTGCTGCGTGATATTCTGCTGCATGCATACCGCGAGGGCCGACGCACCGCCAGCGCCGCCGCCCTGCTGCGGTTGTTTACTGTCATGTGCCGCTGCGTTTCAGGCGGCGACGACGGGGCCCAGCGGTGGCTGTGGGCGCACCGCCTGATCCTGCACGAGTTTGGGATGCTGGAACCAACTCCCGGGCGGCGCGTTGAGTGCGGCCTGCAGATGTATTCTCTGCTTGTCTCAAGCGCACTCTGGCCGCCCCCGCTCAAGCGGACGCGGAGCGACGACGACGACGACAAAGATGGCGCCGCCGCGGATGCGGAGACGCCCACGTACCTTTTTTGTCTGCTTGACGACTTGGGCCGCTACCTCGCAGAGCCGCGCGGCGGCCGCGGTGACGCAGCGGGCAATGCTAGCGACGACAATGGGAACCGCTGCACATCCGCCCGTGTCCTTTTCATCGCGCGTCATCTGCTGCGTCTGCTACGCGGTGATGCGGACACAGCCACTGGTGCGTTGGCGCTGAATCCGTCGCTGCAGCAGTTTGCGGCGCATCTCCTGCTGGCGCCCGCCTCGCTTGGCATCTCGCCAGGGCCCGCTGACGAGGAGCAGCTGCGCTGTGGGCGGGAGCTTCTCGCGGCGCTCGCTGCCGTGCTGCGGGTTCACGAGGGCCACTGCCGCGCGTTGATTGACCGCCTTCGCGGTGACGTTTTTGCCTTGCTTCAGCTAACGACGCAGCCCGCGTTGCTCGAGCGTTTTCACTCCGACCCGCGCGGGACGGTGCACCAGCTGCGCTGCCTCGCCGCCCTGGCGGAGGCGGGCCTGTGGGCGGAGGTGCTCGGGCCGCCGTCGCCGTCGCACGACGTTCCGCGGCGTCTCCTTGCAGGGCTCGCGGAGGCCGTGCGTGACGAGGTCGTTGGCGGCAGCCAACGCGGCGCCAGGCTCTGTCACAAGCTCCTGCTGCTGCTGCTGCTGCTGCCGCCGCCGCCGCCGCCGCCCCTCGTCGACTGCGCCGCGACGGGGCAGGACGGTGAGCAAGCGGCCGCCGCTTGTGTGGCGGGAGGCATGGGGCTGCCTGCCGTCCTCGCCGAGCTCCGACGGGGGGAGGGAGAAGCGGCGCGCGCCGGTGCGGCAACTTCTCCGGTTTTCCTTGCCACAGTCCTGCGTGGGGACTGGCGGGAGGCGGAGAAGAACGGCCCGGTGCTCTGCTGCCTCATGACACAGCTGTGTCAGCTCTGCGGGGGGCTTCTGCGGGACGGCGGCGCGGCATCGCTGCAAGGCGCCCCCTTCTTGGCTCTCCGCGGTTTGCTGCAGGATGTTCAGCATCGACCCACACCGTCCGCAGACGCGTGGACGGTGATCATGCGGCAGGGCGTGGATGCGCTGATGGCGCAGCGCCTGCGTGGGGACTCTCCGGCGGTGCTGGCCTTCTTTTTGGAGCTGCACTGCTGCTGCCTGCGCTTGGGCGGCAGCCGCTTTTTGGACTGCCACGAGGATGACGTTCTCGCTGACGTTGGTGCGGCGGTGGACGACGCACGGTGGACGCTGCGCCCGTACGCGTTGCTCAAAAGCCGCGTGGCGGTGCAACTGTTTGTGCGCGGCGTCGACGTCCTGTGCGACGCGGTCGCAGCGGCCAGGGCGGGCGGGGCGCGGCCCACGCGGCGGTACGCTGCCCTCGCCCAGCAGCTGCTGCCCCGCGTGGTGAACGACGCGCTGCCGCTTGACTGGCGGGAGCTTGAGGGCGGGGGCGTCAGCGGCGTCCGCTACGCTAGCGTGGTGGACGCCGTGGTCCGCCTTGCCGCGTGCACCGCAGCGTTGGATGCAGCCCTGCTGCTCCCGCTGACCCCGCTGCTGCACCAAATCGACATGCCGCGGTACAACACGTTGGCCGCAGCGGTCGCGGCGGTGCTGCGGCAGTCCTCGTCGGAGGCCCTCGTCGGGTTGTGCCGCCAGTCGCAGGCGATGCAGCGTGCCGGCGGTGGTCTGCCGTGGGCGGCGTGGTGGGGCCTGACGCACCGTCTCCTCCTGCCGAGTCTGCGCCGCCTCGTGCCAGCGCAGCGTGACAGCTTCTTCCAGCAGCACATCGCGAGACTCGCGGCGGAGGCAGGCACACCCCCGGCTGAGACGGCGACGCTGCAGCGACAGACGCGGGCACTGTTGATGCTGGAGGCGGTGTTTCTTGCGACGGCGCCCCTGTGCTGCGCGGCTCCCTCACCGCCGCCTTCACGGGGAGGCGCGAGGGCAACACCGGCAGGGAACTCATCCTCGCGCTCACTAAAGTCTGCTGTGCGGCGCGTGCCTTTGTGCCCCCCGATACCGCCTCGCCCGAGGCGTTTTACGAGGCGTTGACGTACCGGCAGTCGGCCCATCGCTGCCTCGCGGCCGTCCTCACCGCCACGCAGGACCAGGAGCCGGTCTTCGCGCGGCTTCTGCTCGACGCCTCCGCCCCGGACGGCGGGGTGTGGAACCGCATCGTGGACACCTCCCGCAAACACTTTTTCAAAGTGGAGGCGCAGTTCCCAAGTGCGGCGGAGCCCCTGGCCAAGGACTGCAGCGACTGGGAGATGCGTCGACGTGCCGCGCCACAGCAGCGGTCCGCCAGGAGCGGCCTGCGGGCCCTGCGACAATTGTCGGGCGGTGAACCACACCGCGTGCATGTCGTGGCCGACGCGGTTGGCCACGCGCCTCTGGCGGCGCACGTCGATGGCGACGATAGTGCCCACGACGGAGGCAACGAGGCAAAAGCGACGGCGGCTCCCAGCGTGAAGTTGGACGGTGTGTGGCTGAGCACCTGCTCCGGTGCCCTCCTCCGCGTCATCGACTTTTTATTGTCGCGGTTTGCGGTGAAGCCCACGGAGGGGTGGGTGCGGGCGACAATCGTTTGCCTCTCCTCCGCGTCCGTGCACGTCAATGCGAGGTTGGCGTTGGCTCGCCTCGTGCAGCTGCGGGCTTCCGCCTTTGCGCCGGCAGCCGATGCCCTTCGGGACGCGGTGGTGTCGCTGGTGTGCGCGGAGGAGATGGGGGAGGGCGGCGTGCATTACGTGGCGCGTGAACTGCTGGAGCTGTTGCTCTACTGGGGCGAGGCAGGGGCCATGGGGCTCACGGCCGAGGCTGCGCGTGCGCTGATGGAGTTTCTTCTTCGCTCCGCACCACACCCCAGTGAGGAGGTGGTGCAGCGCAACGTGGGCCTCGCCCGTCGACTGCTCTCCCTCGCATCACCGCCGTGTCCACTGCGTGAAGCGGAGCTGCGGTGCGTGCTTCGAGGTGACGCGCTGGCGGCCAGGTTTGGCCTGCAGCTCTGCGGCCTCCTCGTCGAGGGCGGCGGGGCGTCGCTGCTGGACTCCGTGGCGCCGGCCCCCCCGGAGGAGCTCTACCACGCCCTGGCGTCCTGCCTCCGGAGGAACAGGGCTGTGACCGCGGGTGACGAGAGGGACCTGCTGGAGGCAGCGGAGGTGGTTGGAAAGGAGCTCTGCGGGCTGCGGGCCCACGCCGCAACGGCTGCGCTGCTGCGCGACACGGTGCGAGGCGCGTTGCTCTCCCTCTGGTCCCGCAGCCCGGGGGCGGCGCTGCGGGCGCTGCGGGCTATTGTGCGGCACGACGCCGGCGTCCTCGCGGCGATTCCGCCCGCCACGCTCCTTGCAAACTTCATGAGTCGTGACGCCGCCGAGCAGGCGACGACGCTCCACCTGCTTCGCCGGGCCCCCACACGTGCCGTGGAGACGTACGCGAGGCTGCAGGCTCTCTTTTCCGGCCACGTCCCCGCCCTTCACGGCTTGGTGCGTGTCGAGTTGTACCACCTGCTCGCGGAGCTGCTCCCGCTGCTCGCCGCCCCGTCGCGGGGGAGTCTCGTGGACGTCTTCCTCTCACCGGACGCCGCGCGGCTGATGCGCGGGGGCGAGGCGACGAGCGTGGCCTTCCTCGGCCTGGCCGTGGCCGCGTACGCGGTGGCCCCCTCGTCGGCTGCGCTGGCGAGGGTGACGGAGGGGCTGAAGCAGCCGTCGCCGTCGGTGTGGCGCGTGGCGCTTGCGTGCCTTGACGCCCACGTGCTCCCGCGTGACTCGTGCGGGACTCGACTGGCGGCTCTGCGGGACATCCTTTCCCCGCAGGCGGTGGGGCGTGAGGCGTGGCTGCGGCACGCCGCCGTGTTGATGCTTTTGCTCCGGCCTGCCACCACTGCGGGGGAGCTGCGTGCCGCACCCACCCCCTCTGCTGCCCCATGCGCGGGTTTACTCCGGTGCCGTTGCGACGCCAACGAGTCACTTTCTCAGCGGCGCCGAGCGGAGGAGGAGAGGACTGGGCGGGAGGAGGCCGCGCACGCGCAGGCCTCATTGGACAGCTCTGCCGAAGACCTCGCGGGGTTTGCGGTTCCGCCGGAGTCCTTCATCGCCCCACTTCAATTGCTCTGCCTGCACGACGCGGACACGGCGTGGTGTTGTTTGGAGCCCGTTGAAGAGGGCCTCCCGCTTTGAGCCCGCGAGGGGGGGCGACGGCAGGGGTGTGCCAACAGGCAAGCCGCAGCGGCGGAACGGCGGAATAGTGACAACTCTGTGTGTGTGTGTTTTTTTTTATTTTGCAATTGCCGTTCTGCTCATCTCTGCTCCTCGTTTGCGAGAGCGACTTGTTGCCCGCGTTCGTCCCCCGCAGTTTCCCTGATGCCGCTGTTGTTGCCGCTGTTGTTGCCGCCGTCGCCGTTGACGCGGTTGTTGGTTCCATGCGGTGGGCACGCCGTCATGCTTTTCCCTCGTTTTTTTTCTTTTTCTGTGTGTGTTTGTTGTATTTCTTTTCTCTGGAGCTCACCGCGCCGCCAGGGGGTGACCCGCGTGTGTGTGTGTGTTTGTGTTTGTGTGTGTGCGGCGGCCCTTGGCGGAAGGGCATCGGAGCGGTGCGTGCCGGGCGGGCGTCGGCGGCGCCGGGGGATGAATCTTAACGAGCGGCTGAGCTCCGTGCTGCAGTACGTGCGGGAGAGCGGCGACCCGTACGTGCGCCTGGTGCACGCCGCGATGAAGGCCGACCGGCGTGCGGTGCCGTTTTACCAGATGGAGGAGGTGCGGGAGGCGACCTTTCAGTCGGACCACGCCTGCGAGATGGTCGTGAGGGCCCTCGCGCCGAGCCTGGAGGAGCGGGCGACGGCGGCGGCGGCGGGCAAGGCCCTCTACATCCTCCGCGTGCTTTTCCTCGAGGGCGCCAACGGCGTCCGCGTCCGCGTGGCGCGGCTGCGCGGCAGCCTGCACCGCCTTGCGCACGTGCAGGACGTCCGCCGGGACTCGCTGGAGGCGGCGAACCGGGACGCCGCCGCCGCCCTGCTGCAGGCGCTGGACGGGAATGGCGAGGCGCTCGCGTCGCGCGGCGGCAGCGGTGGCGGGACGGTGGAGGCGGAGGCGACCTCGCCGCAGTCGTACAAGAGCGAGTTTCAGGCAATGCACGAGAAGGAGCAGCGGCTGTACCGGCGACGGTGCGAGGAGGAAAAGCGGCACGCGGCGCTGACCGTGCGGGGGCGCGTCTACGGCACCTTCGACGGCGGCCTGTCGCCCGACAAACTCGTCGAGCAGGTCGTCGTGAGTCCGAAGAAGCGGTTCGCGCCGGCAGAGCTGGATTCATTTGTGGCCGCCGCGCAGGCCACGGGAGAGCTGCCGGCGGTGTGCGCCGCGCTCGACCAGCGGCTGCAGGGCAGTCGGCAGACGCTGCAGGACAGGTACAAGGTCCTCCTCGTGGTGGAGGCGCTCGTCCGCGGGGGCGTGAGGGAGGCCCAAGAGTATTACCGGGAGAACAGCGAGGGGCTTCGTCGTCACCTGACCGTGAACAGCGCCGAAAACCCTGTCAAGGCAGAGGCGGCGCAAAGCACTGCGCGTCGCATTCTGCAGGCGTTGCCCACGACGCCGCCACGCCACGCTGGCCCCCCGCAGCAGCCCACGTCGTCGCAGCTGGACGCTCTCTTTGCAGGCGTGTCGCTGCAAAGCCCACCGGCGGCGTCCGCGTCGCAGCAGCAGACATCTGCTGCTACTTTTATTGAGGACATGTTTGGCCCCTCACAGGGCGCTCCTGCCTCGCCGAGGGAAGTGGCGCCAGCGTTAGGCGCGTTCCAGTCCCCCATGGGCGCGGGTTTTGGCGCATTGAGTGGGGAGGCGTGGCAGCCACCGCCGGGGCGTGTCTCTTCGCCGTGCGTGTCGCAGGGCTTTGCTCCGTCGGGGGGGAGCTGCGCCGACTCGCTGCGGCAGACGCCCTCGGCCCCACTGGCCGGTGTGCGGGGCGTCTCTGCAGTCACCGCAGGGGAACCTGCGCCCCGGGCAACCCCGCCGCGCAGTGCCCCAGACATGCCGCGCGCCGGAGACGACCGAAGCGACGCCGAGAGGCTGCGGCTTATGCAAGAGATACAGGCACAGATGGAGGTGACGCGGCAGATGCTGGAGCAGCAGCAGTCCGCCCTGCATTCACTCCAGGCAGGACTGCCCAAAAAGTGAGACTGTTTTGTTCCTGTTGTGGAACATCCACCCACACAGTCTCTCACGTTCCCTTCCCTTCCCTTCCCCCCCACCCCATCTTTCTCTCCAATTGGGTGTCTCGCTCCCGGGTGGTTTGCCCGACGCGTTTTTTTTTTGTCTTTGTTTTCGTTTGTTTGTCTCGTTTCTCTCCGCACTTCTTTTTTTTTTTTCTGTGTGCGTGTTCTTGGGTTTTTGTCTCTCACTGCCGCCGCTGCAGGTATCCGTCTCGGATAGAAGCTAATGGCCGTGCTGTACCTCGACGGCTCCGTGCTCTGGCTGGGGCTGATGCTTCTTCTCTACTGGAACCTCTTCCGGGTGTACTCCGACCTCTCCGTGACGCTGCTGTGGACGTGCATGATTTGCGCGGTGAAGCACGTCGTGCGGCGCGTGTTCCGCGTCGTTGAGTGGGCGGCGGGTGTCGACCCGCACGGCGCGGGCGAGTTGGCGGCCGCCTCCCTCGACGGCGCGATGGACGCCCGCCTGCTGTGGCCGGTGCCCGCCCTCGTCGTGCTCGGCTACTCGGCCGGGACGAAGGCCACCACCGCGTGGTGCGGCGCGTTCCTGCTCGTGCTCGCCCTCATGTGCTGGGCGTCGCGGGTGGAGTGGCAGGCCGCCGCCTGGCCCGAGCGGGGCTGCTGGCGGTTTCGCGCCTTCACGTTTGTCTCGGGCTGCCTCGCCCTCCTCTGCGCGGCGCTGCAGTGGTCCTTCTTCGCCACCAGCCCGCGCCCGCGCGACGACGCCAACGAGGCGGTGTACTACACGCTCCTGCTCTGGTCGGCGACGCTGTCGATTCAGCTGCTGCAGGCCCTCGCCTTCGTTGGGCTGCACGTTCTCTCCGCGGCGACCGCGCTGGGCCGCGACGGGGGCGGCTTCGACCCGATGGAAAAGACAGGCCTCACCGTGCGGTGCGTGGGGGCCGCCGCCTCCTTCCTGGCTGCCACCGTCTACTGCTCCGACGGGGCCACGACGTTCATGAAGCTGTCCGTGATGACCCACTTCTGCTTGATGCTGAACGAGTTGCTGCGGCTGCACCGCTCGCGCAACCTCCTGCGGCCGTTCCCGGAGGTGAGCCTCGCGGGGCACTGCGTGATTTGCCTCGACTCCATTAAGCCGTGCGAGCCGGCGCGCAAGCTGCACTGCGGTCACGTCTTCCACAGCCGCTGCCTCTACCGCTGGCTGATGCGCTCCGACCGGTGCCCCACCTGCCGCCAGCACACAGGCCCCACGCACGACGACGTGCTGACGTCGGTGGAGTTTGCCATGGAGCGTCGCCGTGGCAGGCGGCAGCATATACGCAACATGCAGGACATCGCGGTGCAGACGACGTTCGAGCTGGACTACGCCGTGCGACCCGCAGCCTTCCACGGCTCGCTGCGCCCGCTCCTGCGGCCCGCAAACCTGACGGCGGAGGCGATGCCGCCGGCCGCTGGCAGCAGCAGCGGAAGCAGAAATAGTAGCGGCGCGCCGATGCCCGGCGTGCCTTCGGCGTTGCCGGTGACGCTGGTACGGCTAGCAGCCCCACCGCTGCCACCGCTACCGCTGCCACCGCCGCCGCCGCCGCCGCCAGCGCTTCTGCAGGGGGAACTTTCGTCTCTTGAGACGACGACGACGACGAAGGGTGTGCCCTCTTCGGGGTCGCCGTCGGCGTCGGATGAATTCGCCGACAACCCCATAGCGCGCGCGAAGGGAAAAAGCCGAGGGAGCAAGCGCAGACGGCCAGCGGCGGAGGAAACGACCGGAACGGCCGCCACCGCCGATGGTGGGGCGGGTGGGACAGGGGCGGAGACCATGCGGCGCAAGAAGGCGAAGCTGGAGGCAGGCGAACACTTGGGTGAGGGATAGGCGTCTCGTGGTCCCTCCTCCCTCTTGTTTTTCTTCTTCGCCTTTTCCTTCTCTCCGTTCCCCCGCTTATTGACGGTTTCCTTAGTTTCTATTCAAAACAGAAAACTTCATGGAGGGTGCAGCTACATACGTATATACAGATACATACATATGTGTATGTACGTGTGCCTGTATATATCTATATATATACATATATACATCGTGTGCACAGCATGCTGTTATATTAGTCTTGACTGCAAAGAAACGTATTTGATCTTGCGTGCTGCTGTTGCTGAAGCTGCATGACTTGACTTTGAAGAGTAAACTATGCTGTTCCCAACCCCCCTTCCTGGGGTGTGTGTGCGTGTGTGTCTTTCTTTCTATCTATCTCTCTCTCTCGTTTGGCGGCTGCTCTGCGTTGCTGCCGTTGCTGTCGCTGCCTCATTGTTTATGTTATTATTATTGTTATTATTGTCACGTGCTTGTCGTCTTTCTTTTTTTTTTTCATTTCTTGCCTCTCCGTTTGCTGTGCGCGCACGCCACTGCGTACGTGCGTGTCCCCCGCGGGGTCCTGAGGGCTTCTCTGGGACTCGGCGGCCGCAGCAATGTTGCGGCACTCAAAGCAGGAGCAGCAGATGTGCCGCAAGATGCCTGGGACCTCCTTCGGCTACGTCTGCGACCAGCACGATGGCCGCTGCGTGATTTGCGACCTGCAGTTTGATGAGGTGCTCCCGTCGATGCGGGAGGTGCACGTGTGCGACGACTGCGGCTTTGGCAAGGAGGGCGAGGAGCGCTGTGTCATGTGCAACGCGGGGAAGACGGCGGAGGTGGCGTACTACTGCCAGTACTGCGTTGCGCTGGAGAAGGACCGCGACGGCTGCCCGCGGGTTCTGAACCAGAGCCGACACCAACGCATGGGGACACTGCGCACACGATGAGTCTCGCGCGGGCGCGTTGAGGCGTCTGTCCACCTTTCTTCCCTTTCCCTCTCTATCACTCTCTCCCTCTTTACGTGTGTGTGTGTGTGTGTCTGTGTGTGTTTCGGGTGCTGCTCCCGCTCCTCTGAGCGTGGTGGGCACGTTGTGGCCGACGGCTCTGCGGGGGAGGCCGCTCCGCCCTTTTTAGCTCTGCGACCCTTGCTCCCTTTGCTTTTTCTTCACTCCGCCGCCCGCACCCACTCGCAAGCGAAGGTAGTCGTTTATCATGCGTCGATGGCGGTGCCGTGCGGCGGCTGACGCGTGCGCCGCCCGCGCCCGCGGCATCGCGGCAACGCGTGTGCTGCTCGGGCTGGAGCAGCTGCAGGACGTGCCGGCGTCCACCAGCCGGCGGCCCACCGGCATGCACCGCGGCCCCGGCAAGCGGCAGACGTCGGAGAAGGAGGCGGAGCGCTACCGCTTCATCAAGCGCTGGGACCTGCAGATGCGGGAGGGGTGGGACGAGCTCGAGGCCTTCAAGGGGCTGCCAAAGCCGAAGCGGCAGTTCGGCAACGAGGCGGCGGAGGTGGTTTGGCCCTACGCCCTGCTGCTGGAGCGGGTGGTGAGGGTGCACCCCTTCACCAAGTCCATCTACGTCTACTACGGCCAGCGCCAGGCCACGCCGCAGGGGAGGCTGGCGGCGGAGGCGGCCAAGCGGTTCGCCCGGGAGTTCCTCATCCCCATCACCTTCCACAACTCGCAGGTGTACGTGGAGGCGGAGATGCTGCTGGAGTACAGCGAGACGCCGTGGGTGGTGCTGCACGCCCTCGACGGCGCCCATCACATCCTGCCGGTCCGCCCCGCCGAGGGGACCCCCGTCGACGCCGCCGTCGCCCAGCTGCTCGGCGACGTGGTGAAGGCCTGTGAGCGGCTCGCCGCCGCGGTGGCGAACCCGAAGGAGGCGACGCGCGTGCTGAACGAGCGGCCCCTGCAGAACCAGTACGTTCGCGTCAACTACCAGTGGTTTGGCGACACGCCCGACGAGCGCCGCAGCCACCTGGTGAACTGGGACTTTGACCCCGCGGAGGTGGAGCCGGTGCTGCGGCAGCGCACCCGCCACGTGCTGAACTGGCTCAACTACGACGGCAACCTACCGAACCACAACTCCGTTCGCGTCAACGTGTTCCGCGAGAAGGCGCGACTGCGCAGCCCGCGGACGACGAGTGGACCCAAGACGTTCTTCAACTCCGCCGGTTCCCGCGCCAACGCCCGTTCCTCGCGCTTTGGCGGCCAGTCGGCTGTAGGGGACTGAGGGCGCAGCCGCGTTGCTTGCTGGGAGGGCGGCGGGCGGCGGCCGTAGGAAGGAGGCGCGTGCGAGAGAGAGAAGGAGCGAGAGGGAGAACGAGATAGTGTGTGTGTGTGTGTCTGTTGCTCTTGTCACACTCGCAGCAGTGAGGCTGCCCTTCCGCTCTTACTTTGCGTGGGTTTCCCCTCCTCCTCCTCCTCCCACGCGTCGCCGGGTCGACTGTGCCTCTCCACGGCACCAGGCGATGATGCATGGCGCGGCTTCCCGCATTTTCTTCGTGCTGCTGCTGCTGCCGCTGCTCGCGGGGGGGCTGACCCCGTTTCCTCACGGTTTCTGTTTTCCCCCTCTGCCGTTAGGCTCCGCGCGCTCTCATTCTTTTTTTTTCTTCTTTATTCCCTCCCCTCCCCCCTTCTCCTTGTTTACGTGTGTGCGTCAAGGACCCCCTGGCGATCCAACGTGGCGAAAAGCGCGAGCGGCAGCGACGACAACAATACGCAAGGCCATGGATGCATTTGGCACCTCACCGCCAGACGCGGATTTGGAGATCGCGTCACGCGACTACGTCCAGCGGGTGCGGGGGCTGCGCAACGACGCGTATCGCCAGGCTGTTGGCGAGATCGCTGGGGAGATGTACGGCGTGGTCTACGCGCAGGCGTACCGCGACGCGCTGGAGCGGCACAGGCGAGAGTGGGGCAGCCCCGCGCCGTAACCTCCGAACTCGGCGCGTAGGGTGCAAAGCGGGGGGCGGGTGGGGTGCGTTCGTTATCCTTCGCTTCCTTCCCGCCGGTTTGCCCGTGCTTCTGTCTGTCTGTCTCTCTCTCTCCGCACGGACTAGGGAGACAGGGAAGGTAGGCAGAGAGGGAATGTGTGTGTGTGTGTGTGCGCGACGGCGTTGGATATTCCTGGTGTACCCGGCTTCTGCTTCTGTCTCTTCTTTCTTTCTCTCCCTTCGTCACTGCCCTCAACGGTTCCTCTCCCTCGGCTTGTGCTTGCCTCGGAGAGAGGCGGGAGGAGGCGAAGGGGCGGTGGGTGCGTGTGCGGCATGGCGCAGGTGGCGGTGTCCGCCGTCGACTACGACCTGCACGAGGGCACGACGCGGTACAACTTTCAGGTCCGCTTCGGCCGGGGCGCGGCGTGGGTGGTGAGCAGGTCCTACGAACAATTCGCCGAGCTGCACGCGGTGCTCGAGCGGCACTACGGCGGCGCCGTCAACCTGCCCCACCTGACCGGGCCGGTGCGGCCGTGGGCCCGCAACACCGCCGCGACGGCGGCGGCGCGGCTCCCAAAGCTGGAGGCGTACCTCAACGAGGCCCTCTTGGCCGCGCCGTTTTGGTCCCCCCGCCTCTACGACACGCTGCTGCCCGACCCCGACGGCGGCGCGGAGCCCGTGCACGTCAACAAGTTTCTCTGCGTCTTTCTGGAGGTGCCGGAGCACGCGGCAAACGCCGCAGCACAAAGTCCGCCGTCGCCGACGGGCACGACGGCTGCCGCCCAGGAGCCGGACCCCAACACGAAAACTCCTCCACAAGCCGTGCAGGCAACCGCAACCGCAACGGCGACTGCGACGGTGGGTGGCGGAGGAGGCAGTGCGGTTGGGACGCCCGCTGCGCGTGCCTCGTCGTCGTCAGCGAGCAGCGATGACGGGCCGGGGGCCTCCTCCACGCCCCGCCCCGTGGCCGCTGGGGACGCCGTCGTGCCCAAGTCGGCGTCAACGACGTCTGCAGCATCGGAACCGCAGGCTGTGCCCGCTGACCCTGCGGTGCCCCTGGAGGCGAGGCTGCACTGCGTCGTGGGGAGTGACCCCCGCGACGACGCCGGGGAGTTGGTCTTGGCCGCCGAAGCCTCCACCATCACCTCCGAGATGGTGGTCACGGTGAAGGACTTCAGTATTCTTGAGCGGGACCACATTGAGTACTTCCTTCACGTGTCTATCTGCGGCCACCACTGGGTCGTCACGAAGCGCTACAGGCAGTTCCACGAGCTGCACGACAACCTTGTGCAGGTGTACGGGGCCAGCACGGTCCCGGTGCTTCCCTACAGCAGAGTGCCTGCGTGGCGCAAGCTCACAGTGGAGACGGGGGAGGCGCGAAGGACGGGACTGAATCAGTTTCTGCAGAACCTCGTGACGAACGTGGACGCCTGGGAGCCGCGGGGACTGCTAACGAACTTTGAACTCTCCGTGCCAACCGTGCGTGGGGACCAGCACCGTTTCACGGTGTACGTCAATCAGATACTCTTCGAGTTTCTTGGCTTCGCCGCGCAAATTGACGCGTTGAGCGGGGAGGCGGCCGCGAGGGCGGTCGTGGAGCACCGGGCGCTGCTCCCGGAGTCCGTCAAGCTGGCGTACGACAAGCGCTCCCTGCAGGAGAAGCGTCTGCGGATGCGTGAGAGCATCGCCAGTAACGCGCAGCGTCTGCACCACCTCCGCGACGACCAGCTGCAGATGCTGCTGGACCGCGTCGCGCTGCTGCAGGACGACCGCGACATTATGCGCACGTTCAGGCAGCTTCTCCTCACGGGCGAGGTGGGGGACGGCGTCCAGTCCTCCTTTGCGGACGCCATCGCCGCCGACTCCGCCGGGGAGGCCAAAACGGAGGAGAACGCGGGGGCCGTGGACGCCTCTAGCGCCGTCGTGGGCCTCACCGCACTACAGCTGGCAAAGATAACGGGAGAGTTGTTTTTCAACGACACCAAGCTCGCGGCCATCCGGCTCTTCGCCGGCGTGCTCGTTGATTTCGACGACCTTCAAGACGTCTTTGACACCTTGTGGTTTGGGTGGGAGGAGGCACGTGCGGAGGTGGAGCAGGCTTTATCGAGGCGCTGACGCCCAGTGCGTTGGATTTCCCTTCTGCGGTGCCCTTTTTTTTTGATGGTGTTCCCGCCGCGTCTGCCTCTCTGCGTCCCACCCCGCGCCGGGTGGGTCCTCACTGCGGTTGCTGCATCGGTTACCTCCCCTCTATTTGAGTTGCGACGCGCAGCTTTGCTGCAAACGCCATATACAAATGCATATATGTATATATATTTTCTTTTCTACGCGGTGCTTCTCGCCTCTCTGCATCAGACGCGGCGAAAGATGACATCTGTGGTGGGTGATGAGGCGGCAGGGCAGTGGATGCAGGACGCCATGGCGTGTCTTCGCAAGAGCAGCCCGGCCTGCAGCGGTGGTGGGGGCGAGGTGCAGTACGCCGACCTGCTGGACTTCATGCAGAATGCCCCGCCGCCGCCGGCCTCCTTGCGCGCCATCTGGGAGCAGTGTGTGTGGAAGCTGCCGGATGAGCCAGTGGCGTTGCACTGTCTGCGTTGCTTGGCCAGCTGCCTGTGTGGCGGCAGCTACGCTGACGCCGCCTTCCTCCTTGACGCGCGGACGTGTCCGTCCTTGGCGTGCCTGCCGCCAGCGGCCGGCGGGCCGGCGGCGGGGGACTGGACTGCAGCGGCTCCTCCTGCGCATTGTCGCACTTCGGCTTCTGCCAAGCACCACCGACGTCATTCAGCTGGGTTGGAGGGCGACTTTGCACGCGTCGGGGGCCGCCCCAGGCGCCCCGTCCTCGCTGAGGCCGACGTATTCCACCCGCACGCACGTCGTTGTGCGGCTCGCGTCCGGAAGACACCTTTCTGCGTGGGCGTACGGCGAGGTGGGGCTGCGGCTGCGTGTGGGGGCCGTGTTGTGCGCCCTGGTTTACCCGACCCACACGGAGGACCGGAGTATGGCCCTTGTTATTCACAGCGTTGCCGAACTCACTGCTGCCGAGGAGGGCGCGGGGGCCTTGGCGTGGGGCTCGCACAGCACCCAAGGCGAGAGCCCCGCCGCGGGTTCCTCCTTGCCCGCGCAGTGCTCTTTTGGCCAACTCGTCGAGGCATTGGCGCCGGAGATGGCGGGGCAGACGATGTGCAAGTCACTGCTCCTACTTGTGGTGGTGCACACGATGTACCGAGCCGTGCGGTGCCGCACGCGACGCCCGCTGCACTTGTTGCTCTTGGGCGCCTCCCGCTCCGGCAAGTCCGCCTTGTTGCGTGCCTTTCTGCGGCTGCTTGGGCCGCACGCCACACTGGTGGGGGCCCACGTTGTCCACGGGCAGCAGCGGTCTGTGGCCATGTCCCAGGCCATCACGGCGACGTACCCGCACGTGCGGCAGCAGCTGCTCTTGGGCGGCGCCGCGTCCACCTTCGACGCCCTCGTCATTGATGAGGTCTCCAGCCGCGGCTGTGCGCAGCTCGTGGAGGGGCTCATCACGGGGCTCTGCCCCATCCTCGGCGGCGGCGGCGGCGGCGGCGTGGCGGCGACGGCGATTCGGAGTCAAGTGATGCCCACGCAGGCGCAGGTGACGGCCGCCGCGAACGACGACTTGCTGGCGGCCGCGACCCTCGTCCCGCAGTTTGCCGTGGTGGCCCGCACGACGGCCCAACTCTCCCCCCGTCACGCCGTCTCCATCGGGGAGGGGGTGATTGCCGCCTCCGCCGCCGGCTCGCAGGCGTCGTCGAGGACCCCGTCCCGCTCCGCCTCGGCCGTGGAGCCAAGCCCGCGCCGCCTCGGCTCCGGCGTCTCTCCTGCCGCTCCACTTTGCGAGGATTTTCTGCGGGACGTCGTGGCGGGGGCGCCGACGGCGTCCACGCTGGAGCGCAGCATTCCTGCTGAAGCCTTTGCGAGCTTTTACCTGCGTCGCCTGCGCAAGGACCGGCACGGGGGCGACGCCGCCTTCACGGCGACGAGTGGTGGTGGTGGTGGTGGCGTCAGCGGCGGCGCCCCGCCACTGGCCTCGTTGCTGGCGGTGCTCTGGGAGCTAAACCTGGCGCGGCTGCTCCTCGAGCGGTGCTGCTGCTGCTGCCGCTGCGGCAGCATGGGGGAGGCCGCGGGGGGCTGGAGTGAGTCGCTCGCGGAGGAGGTGTGGCAGTGCTACAGGCACCACTTGTTGGCGGTGCAGACGGCCACCGCGGCCGCCGCGGGGGAGCGGGCCACACAACAGATGCCTCCCCGCGGTGCCGAGTTTTCCGCCCCCAGAGGCGGCTCAAGGCGGAGGCTCGGGAAGAAGGCTGTGTGCCTGGCGCTGCTGCGGATGATGGCGCGCGAGCAGCGTGAATGCGGCGCCGACGCGGTGTCTGAGGCGAGCGTCAGGGCCTTTTTTCAGCAGCTTGGCGGAGAGGCGGGAACGGGGCTGTCGTTTTCCGACGTGCTGCAGCACCTGCTGGACGCCGCGTTGATCATTCAGAGGCTGAACGCCTACGCCGTTGTCGCCGAGGCGTGACGGTTGCCATTTATTTTTCTGCGTATTTGTCTCTTTTTTTAAAAAAATTATGTGTGTGTCTGTGTGTTTCCCTTTCCTGCTGCCTCGCTTGTCATTATTGTTTTTATTTCCTCCTTCAGATGGGGTGCTGGGTGTTGCTTGTGCCCGTGGCGGCGCCGCTCGTTGCCTCCGCGTGTGTGTTTGCGAGGGGGAGAGAGACCGCGAGGGACGTGCCCCCTCCCGCTGCCTGCCGCACAGGCATCTTTTGTCCTTTGTTTTTTTTTCTGCTTGGGTCCCTCCCGCGGCTTTTTTTTTTTTTGCTTCGTCCCGCCCACGCCTCTCCGTGGACGCGCCGCGCAGGAAATGTTCCATCGGGGGCCGCGGGTCGACGAGGAGTCGACGCAGCCACTGCTGCGCCATGGCGACCCGCCCGCGTCGGTGCGGACCGTCGCCTCCGCGGGGGCGTACGCGGAGCCGAAGGAGGCTCCACCGGGCCTGACGTTGACCTTCAAGGACGTCACCTACGCGCTGGGCGCGGAGGCGGGGGCGGGGAAGGAGATTCTGCGCGGCGTCTCCGGCTTCGTTCGCGGCGGCGAGATGCTGGCCATTTTGGGCCCCTCCGGCGCCGGCAAGTCCACCCTGCTCGACATCCTCGCGCAGCGCCCGGGGAGGGGGACGGTGGGGGGAGAAGTTTTGGTCAACGGCGGCGCCGTCGGGCCCGACGCCTTCCGCCGCCTCAGCGCCTACGTGCAGCAGGAGGACCTGCTGCGGGGATACCTGACGGTGCGGGAGAGCGTCTCTTTTGCGGCGCAGCTGCGCACCCCGCCCTCCCTCGCGGCGGCGGAGCTGCGTGCCCGCACCGGGCGCATCATGCGGCTGCTGGGCATTGACGGCGTGCAGGATGCGCGGGTTGGCTCGGCGGCGGTGCGGGGGATCAGCGGGGGCGAGCGGAAGCGGTGCGCCATCGCGATGGAGTTGGTGGCGTCGCCCGCCTTGATTTTCCTCGACGAGCCCACCACCGGCCTGGACGCCTTCACCGCGCTGCACCTGCTGACGATCCTCAAGGACCTCGCGCTGGCGGGTGTTGCCGTCGTCTTCTCCATCCACCAGCCGCGCAGCAGCGCGTTTCAGCTCTTTGACCAAATCCTGCTGCTGAATGACCGTGGCGAGGAGGCGTACTTTGGCCACGCGCGGGACGCCATGCCGTTTCTCGCCAGCCTCGGCGTCACGCCGTCGCTGCCGGAAAACCCCGCGGACTTCCTCCTCGACGCCGTCGCGGCGCCGCCGGCGGAGGAGATGATGGACGGCGGCGAGTGGCTGCGGCGGCACCACGTCGCCTGCGCGTGCGGCGGCCCCAACGTCGCGGCGGCGTTTCGCGGGAGGCTGCTGGTGGGGGTGGAGCGGGAGATCGACGCCGTCAACGACGCCCTCGCGGGCGCAGGCACGCAAGGTGCGGGGGAGGCGGTGGCGGCGGCCTCGCCGTACTTCCGCAGCGTGTGGACGCAGATCCGCGTGGTGGCTCTGCGGGCGGTGATCAACAAGTTGCGTGACCCCATCGCCACCTTCGCGGCCGTCGTGGCCGCCGTCTTCTTCGCGCTGGTGATCGGCTCCGTCTACTTTCGTCTGGGGCTTGACCAGCCGTCGGTGCGCAACCGCATGGGGGTGCTCTTCTTTGTTGCGATGAACACCACCTTCTCCAGCCTGGGCGGCCTCAGTCTGCTCATGGCGGAGCGGGCCATTTTTATCCGGGAGCACCGCAACGGCATGTACCGCGCCGTGGCGTACTTCATTGGGAAGATTCTGCAGGACGTGCCCATCAGTGTGGTGGCGAATTTCATGTTCGACACGATTGTGTACTTCATGGTTGGGCTTCAGCCCCGCGCCGACAAGTTCTTCCTGTTCTACCTTGTCTGCACCCTCATTATGCTCAACAGCTACGCCCTCTGCCTGCTCGTGTCGAACCTCTCACGGGACATGCAGGTGGCGAACGTCGTGGCACCGCTCGTGTTTGTGCTCTACCTCCTCCCCTCCGGCGGCGTGCTGATGAGCGTCGACAGTCTCCCGCTCGTCTGGCGCTGGATCAAGTACGTATCGTTTGTCCGCTACGGCCTCGAGGCGCTGGTGATTAACGAGTTTGACGGCCTGACCTTCACGTGCGCCGCGAATGAGACGTACTGCGTGCGGGACGGAAAGACGTACGCCGAGCTGCAGGGATTCCACGCGAGGGATTTCTGGCGCGCCATCGCGGCCTCCGCGGGGAGCGTGGGGGTTTACCTGCTGCTGGCCTACGCCGCCCTGGTGCTCCTGCGGGCGCGCGGCGGCGCCTAGCGCGAGCGGGGTGCGGGGAGAAGATGTGGAGGCCATGAAAGTGGAAAAAGAAAAAAGAAAAGGAAGAGGAAGCGAGGTGAATAGAGAGAGCGCAGCCGGCAGCGAGAGGCGGGCGTGGGGGGGTTGTCACCTCAGCGGCAGCGGCAACGGGTACGTTTGTCCCTCCTCCTGCTCCCTCCTTCTTCTTTCCCTTGGCGGCTCCTGCCCGTTGCTTCTCGCGTTGCCTGCAGCTCCCCCCGCTGCCGCTGTTGTTGTTTTTGTCTCCGCGCCGTGCCTGTGCCTGTGCCTGTGCCTGTGCGGCTGCCAAGGATACCGCATTGCGAAATTGGCCGTGGAGGAGGGATGCTTTTTTCTTCTTCCTCTTTTTTGTTATTCTTCTCTTCTCGTGTGGATTCCTCCTCGCTGTCCACGCGGCGGGGACGATTCAGGCGCTTTGCGTGGGGGCCTGCGCCCACAACCACCTCGTTTCGCCGCAACGCCAGTGCCGACCAATCGCGGTGCTTTTTTTCCCATGTATCGTCTGTGTGGGGTGAGTGACTTTTTTTTTGCGTGGGACGCCTCTCTGAGGCGAGCTGTCAACCTTTTTTTTTTTTAGTTTTATTGTTGCGCCCATTTCCCTCCTCCTCGTGGGTGGGCCGCTTTGGCCGCGGCCCAGGCACCCCACACACGCTTCCGCTCTCTCTCCTTTTGTTTGGCGCCTGTGGTTGGCCTCCGGTGTGCGTCTCTGTGCAAACTCGCGTGGGGTCCTTGCACGGCGGCATTCGCCCCTATCCGCCGCTTCGCCTCCTCCGTCTCTTCGTGTGTGACGCCGGCAGCGGCGACGTGTGGGAATCGCCCGCACACACACACATTGCCACCACTACTCCCATTGCTATTGCTGTTATGAATGTATTTTATTGCTACTGCTTTTTCTTCTTTGGGTTGTGTGTTGTGTTGTGTTGTGTTGTGTGTGGCGGGTTGAGGTGCCGAAGCAGCGGCGGTGGGAGCACAAGTAAAAAGAAACAAAAAAAGTAGTTTTTATTTTTATTTTTGGCCTGCGGGGGGTGGGGGGAGGGGCGTCATTCCTGACGGATGTCGTCGTCTCTTGTGGAGACCCGGGACCGGCGCCGCCGCAGGCTCGGGATCGACTGCGTCGGCCGTGTCGTGTGGCGGCAGTGGGAGCCGAACAACGAGTACGTGAAGAAGATACGCATCCTGAACGTCGACTCGCGGCCGCAGACGGTCAAGTACGAGCAGCCGCTGCGGAGGAAAGTCTTCCTGCTGGACTTCCCGGAGCCGGTGACGCTGAGCAGCGGCATGAGCTTCGACCTCGAGGTGCGCTTCTGCCCGACGGAGCTGGTGGGGCTGCAGGACGCGGTGCGGGTGACGGTGGCGGGGCGCGGCGGCTTCACGGTGCGTCTGGAGTGCGAGACGCCGTACGCAAAGCTGCTGGTGCCGGCGCAGCACGACTTTGCCTACGTGGCGGTGGGCAGCACGGCGACGCACACCGTGACGATGAAGAACTCCGGCACCGTCGCCGTAAAGTTTGAGTGGTGCGTCACGGCGCCGTTTGCGATTTTGCCCGGTCGCGGCCGCCTCGGCGAGGGGGAGTCGGTGGCGCTGACGCTCTCCTTCGCCCCGGCGGAGGCCTGCGCGCTGGTGGCGCAGGCGGTGTGCAGGATGGCCGACAACGACGAGGCGCTGGCGACGATGCGGCTGTCGGGGGTGGGGAAGTACCCGTTCATCCGCCCCGCCGGGCCGCCGGCGCCGGGGCGGGACGGCAGCACGCTGCTGCTCGACTTTGGCCGCCTGCTGACCGCCACCTCGCAGGGCAGGGAGTTCAGCCTCGAGAACCCCGCCATGGTGGACGCCGCCTTCGCGCTGGAGCCGGCCGACGGCGCCGTCGTCCGCCCCTTCAGCATCACGCCGGCCACCGGCGTCATCCGGCGCGGCGCCACGCAAAGGTTCAGGGCCGTCTTCGCCCCCGCCGTGTCGGGCGTGACGAGCGTGGGCGCCTACCGCATCGCGACGCCCACCGGGAACGCCGTTTCGCTGCATCTGCGGGGCGTCGCGCTCGCCCCCGCCGTGCGCACCTCGACGAGCACCATCGACTTCGGGGACGTGCGGCTCGAGGAGGACGCGTGGACGCCGCCGCCCGACGCCGAAGGCCGCCGCGGCCCCCATCAGCGCTTCTTCTTCATCAAAAACGCCTCGGAGGAGGCGCAGCAGTTTTCCTTCTTGCCCCCCGCCCCGGGCGCGGTGTTTGTGGTGGAGCCGGTCTCGGGCGAGCTGCCGGCGAAGGGCGCGGTGCGGGTGAAGGTGGAGTTTCACCCCACCCACCCCATCAACTACCTGCGCCGGCTGCTCATCCTCGTCCGGCACTCGGAAAGCCTCTTGTACGTCGACGTCTTTGGCACCGCATACGACGCAGCCATACGCCCCCTGCCGATGAAGGCGCGGGATGTCGAGGCCTTCTTCCTGCGGCACGAATACGGCCTTGCGGGGGCGCAGCCGGAGGAGCTTGCCGCCATCACGGAGGCGCTGCGCACGGGCCGCTCCTACGAAGACCTCTCCGGCACCCCGCCGCCCGCGGCGTTGACGCCGCAGCTGCCGCTACCCACGCAAACGGAGCCGCACAGCCGCCCCGCGCGGCGACGCAAAGGACGGTTGGACCTCTCGTACTTAACGGCGCCCTTTTCCGCGGGCGTGCCTTTTTGCATGGAGGCCGACACACTTGTGTTTGCGCCCGATGGCGGTGAGTCGCGGCGTGTCTTGGTGTACAATAGAACCAACAGCGTCGCCACGGCGTACTGGTGTGTGCCGGGCGGCTGCGCCTTTTCCGTCTTGCCACTGCAGGAGGACATCCCGCCCCAGGCCTCCTACGCCTTCACTGTGACGATGAACCCTTATGCCTGCGCGGTCGCCGCAGATCAGTTCCTCGAGTGCTACGTGAACTTTAGGCAGATGCGCTCCTTCCGCCTCGTGGAGGACGGGGCCTTTACCCCGCCCCACTTCTTCACTCTGCGGTGCCAGCGGGAGCTGACGACCGACGCCGCCAACGCCGGCACCCTCGCGCCGCTGGTGCACGTCAGTCAGTCCGTCACCTTCCCGGCGTGTCGCCCGGGCGACGTTGCGCACGCCGTCCTGGACCTGGAAAACCGAGGCGAGGTGGCGATCATGTTTGCCGTCGGCGTCCACGTCGATTCCTTGGAGCCGAAAGGCGAGGTGAAGGAGGACACGCCCAACCGGCAGCTTGTCTTTATTGACCGGAGGCATGGAGTCATGGCCCCGCACCAGCGCCTCCCTGTGGTGCTGTCGTTCTTGCCAACCGTCGCCGCACGATTCCGCGGCCGGGCGGCCATCACTCTCAACGGGAGCCCGCGGGACGTGATTGAGGTCGCCCTCTGCGGTGAAAGCTTCTCGCCGGAGCTGGTCATCGAGGACAGCTCCATGATTGTCCTGCGCCCGACGTGTGTCACGGGGGAGACGCGGCGGCAGCTACGCATCTCCAACCCAACCTGCATCCCGCTTACCTTTGACGTGCGTCCTTCGACGGAGCTTGCGAGTGTGCTGCAGGTATGCCCCACCTTCGGCGTGCTCGGGGCCGGGCAGGAGATGGAGCTGACGCTGCTCTTCACCCCGGCCGAGGCAACCGTGTACGAGGGACGTCTCAACTTTTGCATCTCTAACCGTGACACCGGGGAGACGACCTCCTCACGCGGCGGCGGCGGCGGCAGTAGTGCATCGGAGGCGGATCAGAAGCGTCTCATCTCGTGCCCGTGCACGGCTGAGGGTCACTACGCCATCGTGGAGGTGGAGCCGGTGAATATGGAGCATGAAGGCCCCGCCCTGCGTGAGAAGACCTTTGAGTGGACCATCTACAACAGCAGCCTCTGTGAGGTGTGCTACGAGGTGCGCTGGATCGCGGCGCGAGAGACGACGCAGCACCAGGACCACGGCGCCCCCTCCGTGCAGTTGACGCATAACGCGAGTGGAACACTGGCGGCGCGCTCCCACACCGTCGTGCTCGTGACGCTGCGACCCCAGACAGGGTACTCGGAGTACATCTTATACACGCTGGTGGCCGGGAGCGGGGTGCCGCTGGGTGCGATACCGCACCCCACAAGTCTGCAAGAGGTGCGCCAGCACCCACATTGCGTGGTCCGGCTGAACGGCACGCGGCCGGCCGTCCAGATAACCGACGTCCGCTCCATGGAGCAGCACCGGTCGCAGTTGTGGTGTCAGCTGGCGATCAACAGCGTCAATGCGGTTCTTGCGGCAGCTGTGCAGGCAACCGACCTGGAGATTGACTCCTTCGCCTTTTTGCAGTACATTCGCGGGCTTGAGCCGATATTTATGGACGTGGGCATTGGCAGCGCCTACAGCCCACGGAAGGAGATCCTGCTCTGCTTTGAAAACGCAGGAACCTGCCCCGCCTCCTTCCGATTTTGGGACCCAACCGAGCACGAAGGGGGCAACGAGACGTGGTTCCTCGACGATGAGGAGCTGGAGGACGTGCAACAAATACTCTGCGAGCGTCTCTTGGAAATCACGCCGCGGAAGGGCACCATTCCGGTGGGGGCGCAGCAGGTGGTTACCGTCACCTACCACCACACTGTGGTGGGCGAGCACTCGCTCCCGGTGCTGCTTCGCCTTGACGAGGGCAAGAAGGCGCTGCTGGTGCTGGAGGGCCGCACCGTCGCCGCTGACGCCGGCGCACTGGCCTTTCACCACCCGTCTGTGTACAACCTCCACCCAGTGGCCCTGGGCGACCTGGAGCCCCCGCTACAGACCACCACGATTGAAAACGTGGCCTCCCAGCCAGTGAAGTACGTTGTGCAGGAGGACTTGACGCAGCGGGTGGCGGAGAAGAACTGCGGGTTCCCGGTGTTTCAGTGCCTGAACCCCACCGGCATGATCCCTGCGGGGGGCTCGACGCAGCTCAACTGGTACTTCCGCCCGCTAGAGGCGCGAACGTACCGCCTGGACGTCGCGCTGCGCACGCTGGACGGCGAGGACTACGACGTGCAGTTCGTGGGGCTTGGCTACCACCCCAAGAAAGAGGCCCTAGAGACGACGCGCGCCTTGATAAACGACGCCTTTCTGCCCATCCCCGCCGCCCCCGCGCTTTGGCTCCCCGCTGAGAAGTGTCCCCTCGCCCTCTCGATGGACGTGATGCGTGTCGGGGCCGCCCCGAGTTTTTCGCTGCACCGCCGCTTCTGCTACCTCGAGAACAGGCACCCGCGCCACACGTACTCGTTTCTGTGGGGCACCCGCCTGGAGCCGGGGAGCTCGACCGTCACGGTGACGCCCGCCGGCGGGGTGCTCGGCCCGGGCAGACGCCTGCGCTGCCTCCTCACCTTGCACTGTGGCAGCCTGAGCCAGATTTTGGAGACCGCCATTTTTTGCCACGTCCGCAACGAGACGCTCGCCGCCGCCGCCGGGAAAAAGCCACGGGGCGTGGGGCCCGCCGCGGTGGAAGACGGAAGCGCCGACGCCGACGTGGGGGAGGTGGACGCCTACGATGACCCGCTACTCGATGCCAAAACACCACCCGCCAAGGCCTTTGAGCGGTCGACGTGCACGAAGCCGCGGCCGCCGGGATGTGGAAAAAAACGCCTGCCGGCAACTGTTCCTCCACCCGAGTATCAGAGTGTGCGCGTGATCGCCGCCGCCGCCGCTGCGGCGGCGGCAGCAGCAACAGCAACAACAGCGGCCTCCACAACAAACGCGTCCCCTGCTGCTTCGACGCCGTCGATTAGAACGTTAGACCCTGAGGACGGACCCGTGCTGGAGCACTCACTTGAAGTCTTGGTCCAGGCGCGGGTTATGCCGATGGAGGAATACCAGCGTCTCTATGGGAAGCGTGCCTTGGAGCAGTTGCACTTCCCCACACTTTGTCAAAGCTACGTGGACCCCGTCAGGCTTGCGCTGCTGCGCAAACAACGCGTGGAGAGGGTCGGCGCGTACTCTTCCGATGAGGCCTCCGTGGCGCTGCGGGTGCTGGACGGGCTGCTGCGCGCCGTCATCGCACGGCCGCTGGTCCGCGCCAGCTTCACGGAGACTGTCAGGGAGCGTATTCCCTACTACCGCGAGATGGTGTGGGCGGATGTAGGCTCTGCTCCTCACCCTATTGGCGCCTTGGCCATGTCCATCAATCCGTGTGAATCTATGGACAATGGCGCCCAGCCCCCGCGCCTCCACTCCGCCGGGACGAGGGCCTGGGGGCAGACGGACAGTCCGCCCTCCACCGCCCCCGCAGCGCTGCCGACGGAGACGATGCCGAGCGATGGCGCCGTGAGGAACATGCTGGAGGAGGTGCTTGCCGAGGCGACGCTCCAGGCGGTTGGTGCCGTGGCGGAGAAGCTGCAGCTCCCCCGTAGAGAAGCTTCCGGAAAGGCGGGCGGCTGAGTCTTTGTGGCATCCCGGTTTAGGTACGATTCAAGATGTAAATACCATAGCCAATTGAATGTGAGAGCTCTTTTTTTTTTTTTTTTTCTCTCTCTCCATCCCACACATAGATACAGGCGGGGATACACCCAGACACACACAGAGGGACGTCCTCCTCCTTTTTCTCCGTACCTATTCCTGCAGGGCTTTGAACTGTCCTGCGACGGGCTGCGCGGGCTTGGCGCGCCAATTCATCTCTCCTGCCTTTTTTTTTATTGTTTACTTTTGCCTTGTTGTTTTTCCTTCATTTTTTTTTGTTCTGTGCCCCACCGGCCCGTACCCTTTAGTTCAGGGAAAACAGCATGGTCTTCCAGAAGAAGAAGGCGGAGGTGACGGTCCGCACCTCGCAGTTCAAGGTGAACAAGCTGCTCAACCGCAAGCAGTTCATCGTGGAGGTGAGCCACCCCGGCTGGTGCGGCACCGTCCCCAGCAAGCTCATCCGCAGCCGCCTCGCGTCCCTCTACAAGGTGGCCGACGAGAACCAGATCTCCGTCTTTGGCTTCAAGACGAAGTTCGGCGGCGGCAAGACGACCGGCTTTGGCCTCATCTACGACGACCTCGC